ATCTGCTTTTGAGTCTAAATCCGTTTTTACCTTCTGCAGTTCTGCTGTCATAGAGTTAAGTCCTCTTTCCATGTCACCAACGGTATTTTCAATCTTCAGCAGTCTTCCGTTTATTTGTTCAAGCACGTCTAGCTTCTTTAGCTTTTCGTGTATGCTTTCCAAGATGGCGGCGCCGGCCTCATGTTTATGTGGTGGCGTTCTTTCATCTTCACTGCTTAAGCATGCCACTTGTCTCGCTCGCTTTTCGTTGGGCATAACGGAAAGGAAAAGCAAAGATTCTCTAAATAGTTTGAGGCTGATTTGGCTAATTTCCTGAAACTGATATAGTGAAACGGCAAGGCAGCGTCGGAGCGACAAAAAAAACACGACTACTCCATTTGGCGCCCAGTCCCAGTCCCCTTGAAATATCTTTATATTCTTCTTCACTTGTAGTCACACTACCTTGAAACGCCCTTTTTCTCTCTGAGAAAACGTAGAGGATAATTCAAGCTTGATTTGGCGCTAGAGTGATCGGAGTGGCGCTAGAACTCCCAACCGCGTAGGCGCTTGGAAAGGCGGTGCAGTAACTCGACTATTTTGAAAGAAAGAGAAATGTAACCTGATCCAAAAGCTCATGCAGAAAGGTTTCCGAGCTCCAGATGAGATTCGAACTCATCACGGAACCTCCGAGTTCTATCGGACGTTCTAACGACAGTACTGGAGACTCGCAAGCAGAATCCGAATGGTCGCTGTTACTTATCCCTTTAAGCTTTAAGAGTGATCAGCATCAAATTTCTCCTTGTAATATCAACGCTTTGTAAAACAGAGTGGTCATGAGAATTACGGTCATGATCACACAAGATGAATTTGCTTGATATTTTTTCAACTTCTCCCCACTACTTCTGTAGGAAATGAAAAGGGGCAACAAATGATAATTCGAATTTTGACCTTAGGGGTTTTAAGGTTTAACATACATCTCTATCACCTATTTTAAGAGATTATAAATGTCAATAAACGAATTAAAAGCATGCAGTAGGGAAGTATTACAGACTTTGCAAAGAAAGCGTCTTACTTCATGGAAAAGGCCAACCGTACAAAACAGTAACATAAAAGGTTGTGGCGGTTTACGTTAGGCATTTCACAGCATTGAGGTTGAGCCTTAGGTTTTTTAACATTTACAAAAAGGTTTCCGGAAAATCCGGTTAAAAAGTAAATGGAACACGACTTTTTGGGTCGTTCCAGCCGAAAATGTTCGGGAGCAACAGAACATTTTGTGAAAGGTAGAAGCATTTTTCCGAACGGAATATTCCAAATGGAAATTCGTATTCCATTTAAGATGCCAGCTACAGACTTTCGCGGTCGTTTTCGGTAAATGGAACTGATTTGTATTGTATTTGTATTTGTATTTGTATTTGTATTTTTACTCCATCCTATAGATAATACATTAGTTGAACAATATTAATTAGTACAAGGTTGATTAAACTACGTGTGCATAATAATAATAAAAAAGAAAGTTAGAATGGAGAAGGGCACATTATAGTAAAACTAATTATGGCCCTTTAACAAGATTGCATGACCACATTCTATTATAGCTTTGTTATTCATTAAAACACAAACACGCACGCAAGTCAATATTGAGCTAGATAATGTTTTTTAAGTGCCTTTTTGAACAGGATTTTCGATGATTTATTGCGAATAGAAAGGGGGAGATCGTTCCAATAGTATTTTCTAATAACGGTAGGGCAAAACTTTCGAATATTAATTTTTGAGTGGGGTATGTGTAATTACTGAGCAGATGCACTTCGTGTAAAATAATTATGTTGCTCAGATAGAAGAAATAATGGAAAATTACACGGCTTATTATCAGAGACATAATCATATAAAAACAAACAATTGTAAATTTTAACAATGTCACGAAATTTTAATAAACCTAGATGAACATAATGAGGAGTGATATGATCTCGTATAGGAACGTCATTCAGTATTCTAACTGATTTATTTTGTAGACGTAGGAGCTGTGATAATGGATTATCATAATTATTTCCCCACAATAAGCAACCATATATGAGATATGGGTAAACAAGAGAATAGTACATACTAGTTAAACATTGATTTCCTAGATAACTTTTTATCTTTGTCATAATATGAATACTCTTACTAACTTTATCACAAACATAGTCGATATGGTCATGCCAGGATAGGTGGCTGTCAATATAGATACCTAAGTATTTAATTTTGGATACTTGCTCTCTCTGATTTGTGTAAATGGTAAACGCGATTGCGGGATGAAATTTACCAGTCCTGAATTTTGATTACCATTTTCCCAAACCTTGGACCGACCGGTTTGTCCATGGAAATGATAACCAATCTTAATCTTGATCTTAACAGGCACCACGACCAGTTGGCCACAGCTAAACAGTTTTCCTAAACACGTACGTTCACTGAATTTCCTTTCTTATTAAACCCTCTCATTTTGCTTCACATTAAAGACTGAGACGATGGCCACTGCTGTACCTGTAGAGTTAAGGAAGAGGTTGACTTGTGCTGTTTGCATGGAACAGTTTAAGGAACCAAAGGTTCTGCCATGTCTTCACACTTACTGTAAAAAATGCCTGGAAAAGCTGGTGAAAAAACAAGGATCTGACCAGGTGATAACTTGCCCTGAGTGCAGGCAGGATGTGAAAGTAAGTTTCAAATGAACTTCAATCTGTAAAAACAACTTTTCATTCACTCTAGTGGAAAATTACATGATTGTTTCCATACATGGTTACTTCCAAGCCGCACGTTAATTACAGTGCTACCAACGGTTAGTTGCTTCACACTTGAAAAATGTAATGACTGTCTTTTGACAGATAGGGTCTGTTTAGCCGAAATTTTTTTTTTTTTTTATCAGGTGTTCTTTTTTTGTTGACTTGTTTGACAAGCTCTGTTACAAGTAGACTGATTTTACTGATATTCAGGCTGTCAAATCTAAAACTGCAGACTGTTATCAGTCATATACCGTCTTGACTTCGCTTACTATAAGGCAGCATGGATAGGCTGATTAAAAACATTCCTGCTTGTAACCACTCCCTCAAATTCCCAGTACAATGAATAGCCCCCCTTCCTTCACAAACCTCCAAAACTCCTTAGTCCCTTCCAAAAACTCGACCACGCGACATAGAGCCTCAGCCTAGTCCCTAGACGTTTTTGGCTCGGTCAATCCTGGACTCTACTGTGAGCTGCAAGAGAGAACGTCTGGAGACTACCTTAATTGCTATTAATCATCACGAGTGTTTGTATGTTGGCTTAAAATATATGACGATTAGAAGTCAAGACATTTCCTGTTTTTTGTTGTTAGATCGACGATGGAAACGTCGGAAGTCTGCAATCAAATTTCTGGGTGAACAATTTCATGACATTATTGAGCATTCAAAAACGCGTCACATCAACTGGAAAGCCCTTGGTCTGTGAGCACTGCAACAGTGGTGACTCAGCTGTTTCACGTTGTACAAATTGTAAAGTTTTCATGTGTGAGTATTGTGTAACAGCGCATAAAAGAATCAATGCATTTCTTGGCCATCAGATTTTGTCACTAGCTGAAGTAAAAAATCTTGGATCAAAGGCCCTTGCCAAGCCAGCTTTTTGTACAAAGCATACTGATGAAGTATTGAAACTCTATTGTGACACCTGCCAGAAAACCATCTGTCGTGACTGCACCATTGTTGATCATCGAGATCACAAGTACAACTTTGTAGCAGATGTTGCTGAAAGAGAAAGAAAAGCTGTTGAAGCCGTTCTTCAACAAACCAAAGCCAAGGATGTTACTGTTGAAGAGGGATTGAAAGCAGTGAAAGCCATGGAAACTCGCGTTGAAGCAAAGATTGCCAGGGTGAACAAAGATGTAGATGTGTTTTTCGATGAGCAGGTAAAGGCATTAGAGGAAATGCGCGCAAACTTAAAGCTTGAAGTGAAAACACAAGGCCAAGCCAAGCTCAAGGCACTTAGCAACCAAGAGGAAATGCTCGCATTATCACTGGCACAGCTACGAAATAGTGCTGATTTTGCAGAAAAAGCGTTAAAAGATGGAAATGACTTGGAGCTCTTGTCTATCAAGCAACAACTCATTCAACGTCTTGCTCAGCTCAATGCATCACAATTCCATTGCAAACCCTGCAACAGTGACTACCTCAAACTTAAGATGAACAAAAGAATATCGGAAATCGGAGAAATGATGACGCTAGCTCATGCACCAGACACTTCAAAGTGTGTGCTAAGTATGGTGGGTTGTGAGGAAGGTGTCTTGTATCGGACATTTGCTGGGCAGCCTGTGGATTTCAAGTTTGCCATTGTAGGTGGTACTTCAGTCAAGGAAGCAGAGACTGGTTCCATGGTTCGTGCTTCAGTGAAGAGGGAAGATCAACAACAGAGTCAAGACCTTCCTGTACGTGACAAAGGTGATGGGTCGTATTTCTTCTCCTATCAACCACAGACTCCTGGAATCTGTACCCTGTCAGTGACAGTTGAAGGGGAGAGCGTGCATGGTAGTCCTTTCACCTTGGAGGGCGTTCAAGAAATAAAGGGTCCAAATGAGCTTACAAATTTTTTCGACAGTCAAAGAAAAACTAGCAAAAAAATGCATAGTTGGAAATTAAAGTACTTAGGAAGTACCCCTGAAAATTCTAAAGTTGAAATTGGAGTTTACTATGACAACAATTACTATGGTTATACTCATAGGTACACCTGGTGCCGTCAAAACAATGTGTATACGACATGTCGAGGTAGGAACTCATCGGGTAATCAAGCATCAATAACTTCTTTGGAAAACAACGACATCCTCTCATTTTATCTGAATCTAACTGTATACAAACTCGTTATTTACAATCATAGAAGTGAACAATCGGAAATATTTACTTTTGCTGATTATGACGATCGGAGTAAGTATACATCAAATTTTGGTATCATCATTACACCTTACAAACCTATCAATCCATCTCAAGGTGGTTTTACTTTTGCCATCGAGTAGGCTAAACTTGTGGATTAAGTCACACACGTATTTTAATTTTTAACGCCAGACCAGGTAGCCTGCCGGCTGTGTGCCCCTTGCTTTCTTTTTATCCAAAGCCGAGTAGTGACGACCAGAAATACGTCTACTGCATCGGTTCTTTAACTTACTGAATATATTAACTTTTATGGGCAAAAGAACAATTTCAGATCGAGATTTTTGCCAAGCAAATGATCAAACAAATCCTTCCTCTCCCAAAGGTTGCCAAAATAAAAATGGGAAAAAATTACTAAAGTAGAAATGAATAATTTGCATGAAAAAATAAAAAAAAAATGAGTTCTTTTTAAACAGTTGAAATGACTGAAAATTTTTTTACATTAAGGCCCGGAATTTTAAACAAACACAGGGGAATTAATAGGGGAGCGTAGAATTTTAGAGAAACGTTAAAAATTAGGGCCGGTCATTAAACAGTATTCAGTAAGCGGTGTCTAACAAAACCGCGTAACAAAACCCTTAAATTTGGCCGACCCTTGACAAGTAACATTGTTGCTTTTACCAACAACAAGCGCTTTTTAATACAGCCCAGGCAAAAACTATTTATGCCATTAAATGTCTTGAAATGAACATCTCACAAACGGAGTTGAAGGCCCGCTGAGTGTCGTAAACCTCGGTCTACTAGACACCGGCCCTTTCCGCTCAGTATATCCATCGCCAGAAGGGCTTATGTACTGAGCCTGCGTGGTTTCGGAGCAAAGAAAGACCGCGAAGCGGGATTTTCGGTTTTGCCGCGCGAAAAATGGAACGAGAGCCATAACGTGAAAGAGGGGGAAAGGAATGAAGTTTCCTTCTTCTTTTCCTTCTCTTCTCTCTCCCCACCCCCTCCCCGCTTACTCGCGCCTTTTTTCGCGCGGTATTTGACTCTCGTTCCTCGTTCTTTGCTTCGAAACAGCATGGAAACGCTTGCTACCGTGCTTGCTTGATTGCTATTTGTTACAAACAGAGCAGAATCTATCGTTGTGGAGAGTTTGATTATATCTTCCAGTTTCAATCATTGAAAGTTAAGCGTGAGGACACATTTTAACCAGATATGATGTAATATAATTATACGATATCTAATATTTACCTTTACAGAGTTTCGAAACAAATGTTAATACTGACACATTTAACCATGAATGGCTCCCAAATACTTTGGCTGTTTAGTTAATCAAGGTTTAAAACTGTTTTATGTATAAGCTGCCTTTTGATTTATGTCAGTCAACCACTCGATTACGGACTAATAAAATTTGAAGTACATCAGTGTAATACCCTACCCTGCCCTCAGGAAAAATTGGAGAAGGTTCCTTCTCCTATTTTTCCTGAAGGAAGGTGGTGGGGGGGAGGGGGTATGTACACAGGCTTCAGTGTAAAATCAAGTCAGTTATAATTTAGGTTACAGATATTGTAGAGTCGTGCTTTTTAGAGTAACGACTGGGGATCATCGATTTTTGACTGACTTATTTAGCTGCGTTATTACGAGAAACTGTTTCTCGTTGCACCATAAGCAAGCATCTCGAAGAAAACAGATCGGATTACTGGTTAGCCTGTGCAAGGTTCTCAGATAGTATAGTAGGGACGTATACTGGAAACAAGCAAAGCGAAAATAAGACGCGCGCGATCGCGTTTTTCGCATCACTTTTTACTGCCGGTAGATTTAAGCAAGACTTAATTTCTACAGGTTTCTCAGTGTCATAGTCAAGATAAATGAAGCTTAAATATGCTCACGTCAGAGACAACAAGCCTGGTCTGAGCATGTAAAGTTATACAACCTAAGAGAAATTAAAATTAAAAATGTAGTACAGCCAGGCATTCTGCGAATTCTTTCAGACTTGCTTTGAGGGACTTTCTTCAGAAAATGTAAATAATCATCATTTGAACTCTTTTGTTCGCTGAACCCAGGCGATGTCAGACTCACCAGCTTATGATGAAGTCTGCCTGAAAGGTTAGCGCTTGCTCGAAAGTTACGTTAAGTCATTTCAGACCATATGACCAAACCCTTATCACGACAGAAACGTTCCAAATCTGCCTCTCTTTCAATCATCCTCCCTTCTCCCAACCATTTTAAACTGCGTTAGATTAAAAGCCACGAGAACACCTGGGATTTGCAATATGAAAACTGGATTCATTACTGTCTCTTTCCTTTTTAATGCTTCTCTCAATGAAGAAGGATGTTCCGGAATCCAAAAAACTAGGGCCCCGTGAAAAGATTTGAAAGTAAATCTCGCGAATCCCTCGGGATCGGGATCATCTTCATCCAAGACAGATAACGCATTCTCCTCGTTTTGTGATGATTTAATTTTTTTCAAATGGATATTCACACATACAGGCGACAGGGAAGAGCCTTTTGGAGGTGTGCGGATAAAACTGTCTTTGATAAACACACTGTCTTTTCTAGCAATAGTCCCCACGAACAGAATTGTAATACAGTCGCTTCGTCCGTGCTGTTCCGAAATCTTTGTTTTAAATGTTTGCACCTCTGTGTCCTTTCTCAGAGTCCTCAAAACATTTTCGTTTACGTCCTCTGGAATCTCATACTTAGAATCAATTAAAGAAAAAGCTTCCTGAAGGCTGGATGGGTATAAGGTCTGTAAGTATTCCATTTTCTTGAATCTCAATCATGAAAAGAAGATTTTATTTCCGGGTGCCGAACAGATTTCTTATCAAGCGCCGGGCTTTCCGCCCGAGAAACTTGTCGATGTCCTCCAGGAGTTTCGATGCCGGTGAGTTTCGAAGAGCTTCACCAACTCTTGCTGCTAATTTAAAACTGTCAATTCTGTTTTGGACAAGCGAACAATTAAGACCTTCTCAGTTCTACAACTGACTTGCTTTCAATCAGACCCAGTGGACGCGTGGACGCGCGAGAAGCGTGACATTCCTTTGAAACATGTTGAAACCTGCCGTTAAATCAACATCATCTCAACTGAGTATTTATTTGGCTATGGCTTATGACCTTGTTTGGATGTGGTTACTTTATTACGAAATCTTTAATTTTATGACGTTATTGTCCCAATTCCCCAAGAGTTGTCGAATTTTAAGAATGGGATGATGTCCAAGAACTTTACCAAAAAATAAAAAATAACAACGATATCCGGTTGATTCATGTGTCCTGATTTCATGGAAAAGCAAGAAAGACATCTTGAGGTGAGGGTTCTTTTCCGTTCTTGTCGTCTTTCACTGAATGCAGGCCTTTCAGAATACCTTTTGCCACAGGTTTGATTAAAGTAGCATGATATTTACATTTGTCCAAATAGACCTTCTTTTTCCTCCCCTTCCGCATGCCTGCCAAGCAAGTCAAGAACGTAAGACAGACAAAAAGACAGGAAAAAACAAAGGCAAAACAAAATTTAATATTAAAATCCTCTGAGCTTTTAGTTTTCTAGAGCCTTTTTGAGGGGCATATGTTCGGAAAGGCCAAGGGGGCCTCGAAAGGCTCATTTTCGAAATTCTTTGGGTTTTTTTTCTATTCTGTGTGGGCGATTTCTTCAATCTCTGTCGCCAACGACTTTGTCTTTGATCAGGAGTTTGATAGGATGATAGCACCTATTTAACAACCGCCTATCCCCCTTCCACAGCACCGCCATTGGCCCCGCCCCGGCCGGTTAGACAACCGTACCGACGTCCGTGCCGAAAAGACAGACAGTAGGTTCCATTCTCCCCACTCGGTTTTGATGGTCGCCTGTTAGTTTTTGTCACGAAACTGTTTTGATCCTGTTAGAAAGGGCGGTCTGCGTCGTTGGACGGCCTTTTTGTCCTACTAAAGGACCTTGGGTAAGTAAAACAGTGGTTTATTTTAGCAAAAAATGTATCACCAAAGGTAATAGATGAGATTCATAGGCTTCTATGCACGCTCAAGTGCAATTATTATTAGTTTGGTGGTACATGTATTCCCGTAATGTATCAGCTAAAAATGGGCTCTATGCACGTGGCGATGCATCACTGCCTGAAGATTTTATCTGAAGCTACCATATAGTTTGCGTTGTTTGAGTTATTTTACTGTTAACATGAGACATTTCCGTATATTTTACAATGCCAACAACATCTTTTTCGCACATTTTTACTATCGCAAATTCGTGACGATTGGAGTCAACGAGTATTTTTTGCGTAAATGACGTCATGTACATTGCGTTATGACGTCATCTATCTCCATCAATTTTCTCCATCAATTTTCAATATTTGGAGATGTTGGGTAGGGAGGGGGTGGGGGGGGGGAGGGGGAGTTGACAGCCCTGGGAAGGGTTTGACCACACATATTTTGGGGCGGGATTTGGGAAAATGGAAAATATCTTGACGGGAAACAGTATATTTCAGTTGACTGGTACTCATGAAGCATTATTCATCAAATTTGGTCAAAGGATGCTGGATTCTTTTGCCTTTCTGTCAGGAATTCGGAAGATTTTCATGACTTAAATATACCTTTTAGCAGCAATGCAGGGTTTTCATACAACAGGAGTGGGAATGTGGGATCACAACCCCTGCTACTAGACTCTGGTAGACTTGTAGAATATGGCAGAAGATTTACACATTTTTGAAGAGGAAATCTCTGAATTACTGCCCAAAAAGAACAGCAAGAATACTTCTCGGCGAACGACACCTGCTATTTGTACAATATCTGCTAGAACATCCCTTTATATAATCCTGAATTTGCAGAGTAAGAGGCAAATGAAGACAGAAAATTTCAGCTTCTTGTTAAACTAGGAATTATTTTGAATGAATGAAACAAAAAGTGTTTTATTCACACACAACAATTTGATTTTAATGTGACCTAAAGATATATGCAGATCTTTGAGGGTACAGTCGAACCTCGATTATCTGAACCTCGATTATCCGGATTTCTCGATTATCTGGACTTTTTCTCTGGTCCTGATTTGGTCATGAATATTTATTAGTCACGATCAAGATCCGTAGCCGTATCCTTTTTAAAACTACAGCATTGAAAAGTGCAGTCAAATGCGAGGATTTTTTGCTTTCAAAGAGCACAAGCAGCACTCGCGCGTGTCGTAACTAATGAAGAACATTCAAATGAGTTCTGATTGGCTCAGAGTTGCATTGTTGCTAAGTGAAATTTCACGCTCTATGGCTCGCTTGGCATTGTATGCAAAACACTGACTCGTCCCCAGTCCTCTCTCATTATTAGTATTTGGTGTGGAAGACTAGAACGGGCTCTTTAACAAAGAGCATAATTCCCAAGCACTTACCTAGTAAATAATTAATGAGTAAAGAGAACTTAGAGACGACTGGGGACCAGTCAGTGCAAATCAAACAAGCTAGCATCACAAATGTTTATTCACGATCATCATGTCTTTGAAGCACAAGCAATCCGTTCTTTCGATAAAAGATAAACAGTCTATAATTGTGCGATTAGAGAAAGGAGAAAAGGGAACCAATTTGTCAGCTGAATATAATGTTAGTAGAGTGAAGATGCAGACGACATTGTATTCCAAATGATTTGTAAAAGTGTTGTTTCACGATTAAATGTCGTTTTCTTAATTTAATCAGTTTTGCTGGGTTTTGCTTTTCATTAATATTTATATTTTTGATTATCCAGACCCTCGATTATCCGGACTACTGTATTTCGTCTGGTCCCAAAGAGTCCGGATTTAAATCGAGGTTCGACTGTATTATGTTATATCATCTTACTTGATAAGAATTATTATTAATAATTCGTAATAGATCATACACAGCCTCATCCAATAATATTATATTGCTAATTATTAAGAAGCAATCACTAGTAATCTTTGCTATTATTAGAGGAAATGTTCAAACATGACAGTCATACCCAACTTTTTAATACAGGATCATAGAAGGTTATGGCAGCTCGATATGTTCCACCTGGAGCCAGATCTAAAGAAATACAGGGCTGTAATTCAGTAAATCAGGCAGAAGACCGCCAGAGGTCGCTAGCTGAATTAGTAGCCAAAGATGAAAAGACAGATATTTTTACTGTCAAACTGAGATCAGACAACTCATATGGTAAGGACTGTAAAGATTACAAGTGAAAAGCCCCTTTAAGGCACATAATTTGTGTTTCTGTGTTAGTGTAAGACTGGGGAAATTATAAAAAAAATGTTGTATAGTTTCTAACAAAATTAAATTGACTGTCCTAAAAGTTGCCATTATCATTTCTCTTCATGCCAGGAGTACAAAAACTGTAAAACTCTTAACAGTGTGAATGCCAGCTTTTCGCTTATTTTACTACTCTCCCTAAAACAGGATACAAGTTTACAAGAGTTCTCAGTGACATTATTTTAATCACTTAGTTTAAGTTACAAAGACCCATTAGGACGTACACTTGGATGACTTGTCTAAGAAATAACGACACTCTCATTTTTCAGATAAGATTGCGGCCTTTACAATGGTATCTGATACAGAAAACAGTGATCACCCAAAAACTCAACAGTTTGAACTCCCATTTGGATATAAAGAGCTTCGACAACTTATGCAGGTAAGTTGATTACTACAAAAGTTGACCATTTTCAGAAAACAAGTTCTGGACATACATCATATACATTTGTAAAAATATCTAAAAGTTTCCGTTTAACAATTCAAAATACCCTCCACACAATCTTGTAAAGCCAATCATCAGGAATGTCACAAAAAAGTTTAACTTAAAAGAGCTACTTGACCTGTGCATCTTTCCAGGAATGAATCCTGCGTTTTATTATTGGATTTCTTGCTCAGATTTAGGGTAGCATACTTGGCTGTTTTCAAACAGCATTATTGTGAAGTAATATTAATTAATTATTTTAATTGGATTGATTGGCTTATCTGATAGTTTCAATGAAAACCAAACCAGGTGGCAGGGAAGGCATGAGGAAACCTTCCCACCCCCTCCTCCCAGGGCTTTCATTTTTGTGTCCCCTGTACTAAAGTTCATGTGTCAATCAAGAACTGTATTTCTGCAAAACAATGCCAGAGGAAGGGTCCTTAAAGTGCTTGACTTGCTTTTTTGCAGTGGTTTCGTGAGATTGGCTGGAAAGACCAAGATGCAGTACTTCAGTTTCCTGCAAGTCTCACAAAAGAACAAAGAAAACTTGTCCATGAAACTGCACAAAGTTTTGGCCTGGGAACCTCAAGTTCTGGGTTTAAAGAAACGGTTGGTTATTTTGCATATTTTTATACTTTGTTTAGGGGCCGTTTACATGGAGGGAGAAACATCCTGGCACCAAGAAGATCTTAGAAGGCTGATCATCTTTCAGCTATTGTTACTTTTTTGTATTCAGTGTACATGCAAAAGGTTGTACTTTTCCTTAGTACTAGGATCTTCCTTAAGCTGAAGATCCTAGGAACATCAGGCACGGATCTAGGATAAAAACTGATGGATTTCCTAAACGAGCTCAAACAAAAACAAGCCTAGCGGGGTGCAGGGGTGGGCTTCCCCAGGAAATTGTTTGGATTAATTTTTTACTCCTTAAAGTCCCCTTTCCTGGGTTTCCGAGTCATTCAGACAGAATATTGGCCAGATTTCAACTTGAAAAGTGCTTTTATATTATTATTAAAAATATATTTATTATGAAAAATGTGACCAATTTTTGTAAAACGGTGGAAAACGGTGTGGATCCGTGCCCGACCATAAAAACTTCCTTTGCTTGGAAGATCCTAGTACCAGGGACAAACAGTGGCTAATCATGGCAATGAAGGCTGACCATTTCATTTGGTGTTACCACAAGCTGATACTTGTGATAACTCTGCTAGTTGTTAAGGACAGTATACGGAAGGGCACAAATTGCGTTTTTGTTTTTGTCCATCATTTTTAATTCCTTCTCAATCCTTCTCTACTTGGGCACCAAATTTCTGCATGTAAACCCAACAAGAAGTTGCTCCATCTTTTAGGATCTTCCTGGTACTAGGATCTTCCTCCCCCTATGTACAGCCCCTTAATGTAGGCCTAAATAAAAAGACCCTTAACTGCATGCCATAATTTTAGCATATGTAACTTGTTTCTCTTTCATAATGAATTGATTACTTTTTTCTAGCGTTACATCAGTGTTTATTCAGTGGAGCAAGCCACCCTCGGTGTTGGAAAAGTGTACCTCACAAAAGAAGAACGGGAGAAAGCCAATACAATATGGAGACTAGTTAAACATGAAGAAGATGAGAGATACAAGAATTTCAGTCACAATGAAATAGATGAGATGGTTCTTGCAAATAAACTGGATCCACTGATTCAGGAATTGTGGGAAAAGAAGAAATCACTGTCAGTAGAAGAGGACTTTAAAGAAAAATGTAAAGTTGCTGATGAAAAATAAAGACATGGTTTTTGACAGTTAAATGTTAAGGGAAATAGATCAAAGCAAATTTGTCTTGTGAAATAAACTTGAAATCAATGAAATCTTTATTACAGTACGATTACTGTAACTGGAGCCACTTAGACAAAGTTGTTTGGTGGCCAATCAGCAGTTCATAAAAGTTACTTGAAGCACAAAGCAAACATTTTTCGGGAAAGCAAAATGTTCCATTGGACAATGTTTATCTATTTGAAACTTTGCATACAATTAACACCCAGGAGACATAT